GAATTGCGAGGAAAGAAACTATTAGCATGGAACATACGGTTACATCTCAGCCATTTCAACTTTAAAATGATGAGACCTTGCCGCCAATCTAGTACTGCGCTTAAATTCATAAAGTCTAGGAACCATAGAGGAAAGTTCATCAGAATAATTACTATGAAATCATTTATAGAAAAGGCACAGTTACGGTGGTGAGGAAGGGACTGAAGCTAGCATGTCAGCTCAGGACCAACAACATTGAAGATTCACTGGATTTTTATCAAGAATCTCTAAATATATAGCAGGAGCACCAGACCAGATGTGGCAGCAATATTCAAAACAAGGGCGAATGTGAGGCTTATTTATAGATTCTGGTGAGAAAAAATGTTCTAGCACGACACAGTGAACCAACTTTCCTAGCAAGCAGACTTAGCAATTGATTCAATATAACCTTTTTTACTTCATGTCAGCGGGAAACATTATTTCGAGAAGGCACAATGAGTCACTCTCTTCATGTTGACCGAAAGCACAAATGGTTCTATCTGATGATTCAAAGATAGCGGTTTCATTTTGGAAGTATTAAAATTAACCAGTTATTTCTTGCCCCAGTTAACAACACATTGTGGGTCATTTGAAATCGGCTGCCAATTTGACCTTATTGGACCGATCAGACTTACTAGTAAGACAGTAAATAGTTGCCGTCAGCATAGATACAAACTGATGACAAAGTCGTTGATGAAAATTAGGAACAATGTAGGTCCAAGGAAGAGCTCTGGGAAACATCTGCAACAATGCAAAAAGATTTAGAAGAGTGACCATTCAAGACAACATTCATTTCGCGATTTGACAAAAAAAACTGAATCTGTTTAGAAATTCGTCCAGAAATATCATAACCTTTCAACTTGTGAAGAAGACCAGTATTCCAAGACTTGTCAAACGTCTTCAAGATATCCAAAGCAACATCCTGAGCTTCACCATTCTTATCTAAAACTTGATAAACTCTTGCAGCAAAAATCGTTAAGACATTTAAATAGTTGTCATCAGTATAGATACAACTGATGTAGGTGTTGATGTAGAAAAGTGAAAGCCATATTGCTTATCTGCAAGGCGAACCTACGATGTGAGATGTTTAATCAAGTCAGAGTTAGAGCTTCTTGTACTTTGCAAAAAAAAAAAAAAAAGGTAGAAGGCTAATAGTAGGATCACAAGATTCGCCTGAATTCTTAAAGACTGGGACTACAGAAGAGGATTTCCAACAAAAAGGGAAGCAAGAAGCGGCAAAGCATTTATTGTAGAGTTTTAAGAGAAAACTGTTCGGTCAATAAATGCTGAATATTTCTTTTATAAGGTAACAGTTTATATATCATTTCACCCCAAGCAATTATAATAGAATAAATAATTAAAACACATTGTTTATACAACTTATTCAGTCATAAAGGCGTGCAAGTAATGATAAAAACTTGAACCAACTCTAATAATTACCGTTTCCTGTTTTAGCTCTTGGAAAAGCGCGCATTAATAAAAGGTGTCGTCTTAATAAGCTCGAGGTGGTCGGAAAATTTTGTCAAAAGAGAGAAGAAAGAATCCCTCCTCACTACTTTTAGATAGGAGACCAAGAGTTCCTTGTTAACTTTTTCGCCTCGGTGAGTCACTCTTTGAAATTACATATATAGTTATTTAATAAGTTTAGCTTATAGTGAGAGTTTGTATGAGCAGATTTTTTTTACGCAAAAATAGCGTGTCGTAGGTATTTTTTTTTTCATGCATTTCCGGTGACTTGTTTCATTATACACAAATAAACTTTTTCTGTAGGGTGTTAAAATTCATGTAAAAAACCCCCCAAAAAACAAAACAACAATAAAAAAAAAAACCAACACGGATCGCACTATACATGAAGTCGGCTTATACACGAGTATATACGGTAATTTTCCAAAAAGCTACAACTTTGGGGAACAGAAGACAGAACTCACTACATAACAGCAAAACATTCTGCGAGATTAACTTACTAATCATTGTTTCATGCCAAGGTATATTTGATATTTATAACGATAAGTTGTAGGATTACTTCACCTTATCTACCAGTGGACTTATTTTAATGTTCGCTAGGTGGCATTGCATAAAAGGCAAGAGCTCTTTTTTCAACCACAGAATTCTGTAATGACGGGTCTTGTTTCCCAGAGAGAAATTTCTTAGCCTCCAAGGTGAACCTCGTGTCACACCCAACATACTACACTATTTCCTCTCAAAAAAAAAAAAAAAAAAAAAAAAAAAATCCTCATTTCACCGCAAAAATATATTTTTCCAACACAAGAAATTATCCCAGTTTAATAAACTAGACAATGTTGTTTCAAACTGATGACACCAGTAACAAACTGGTAACCTACTGCCGTTACAAACTTCGTTTTGATATCTTGTTCTCATTTTGCTTTTTATTATTTTGAAAGGGTATATAACAATTATAAACCACTTCCATTCTTATAAATCAAGTAAATAAACATTGAATATATTTATTTTGAAATTATTAAAAATCTACAACGGAATGTGGTTACAAAACTTAGTATGACAAGACCGTAACTGCTAGACACCTAATGAGGATGGAACTTGCTATAGGAATAATGGTGTGTTTGAGATTAGATTGCTAACTTTAGCTCCACAACGATGCGCATAGTTCTCAGTATTTTATTGCATAAACAAAGCCATCATAAAGTCGAATGAAAAAAATGGCGCTGGGTGTTGAAAGCGGTTAATCCGTTAACATTGAATTAGTTGTGTTGATATTTAAGAACTCTGTACGAGACTTGAATTATTTCAATGTTACTTTCATGGTCGAAGCGTGTACGCGTGTTCTTGTCAGGTTATGTTTTCGACGCATTTAAAAGAAAATCTAATACACGAAACCGTATTAAAACCTGTCAAGCCATCAGCTTCCATTTTTAACGTGACTAATCGTGAGCATGCGCAGCTGTGTTATCACAATGGAAAATAACAAGCGTAATTAGAATAATGAAAGCTTCTTGTAAAAACCCAGCAATAAACATTTGCGAAAATAATGAAAGAGGAAAACAGAAGATTGAATGAGTGAAAGACTAGGTGATAGAACGCGATATTTAGGTTTAATAAAAGGGAGGTGTACAAAATAAAAAAAAGCGTTGGGCAGGATATATACGAGAAAGAGAAGCTGTAGTAAAAAACAAAAAAAAACAGGGAGTGAAGGATAGATCAAGTGTGTGCATGTGTGCGAGCCAGACAGAGTGCAAGACAGAAAAGAGAGGAAGAGTGAGTGAGAAAACAATAAAGAGATATCTACAGGAAAAGAAAATTAATGAAGGAGAGAGAATTGTAGGATATAGTCATCGAATAATAAAGACAGTGCAAGGGAATAGACACAGAACAATAAATAAAAGATGTGTGCGTATATAACAAAAGATGTAGGATATGAAATAATAGAGAGAGGTGCAAGAACAGAGTCTATACGAGAGAGAAATGTGACAAGAGAAAGAGATGGTTTAGGTTAACGGGGGTGTAAGATAAAGGTAGGTTAAGTGAGAGAGAAGAAATATGAAAAAGTAACAGGGTAAGATGTTGCAGGAGAGTGAGATGACGCTGTAGGATACGGACATAGTTTGAGAGAGAGAGAGATGAGGGATTGTAAAATATCTGGATATAGTGAGAAAAAGGTGGTGTAGGACAGAGTAATAGAGAGGAGTTACACGAAAGATGGAGGAGGATAGAAAGATATGAAGGCGTGGGAGAGAGAGAGAGAGAGGTTGAGAAGCGTCGAGAGGTATAAGTAAAGCGAAAGAAAAACGAAACGAAAGAATAAGGAGCTATAGTAAAGGAGAGAGAGAGAGAGAGAGAGGTAGTCAGAGATAGAGAGAATGAATGAGTAAATATGATGAATAGAGGCATAGAAAATATAAAATGTAAGGCTAATATTGATACAATGAAGCACGAAGGAATAAAAAATAAGAAAGAGTTGGAAAAAATATCAAAAGCCAAGAACAATTGTCGATGATGTTATAATGGCTCCGAGGACACTGTCCTATTTCAAACTATATTTTCCGCCTTTGCTGACTTCAAATTACACTTTGTCGCTTGACATTCAATCGAATTGATATCCAATCAAATTATTTTCCGCTTTTGTTTACAAAATTCATCTCGGAAGCTCAGTTTGCACAAAACCGAATTGGTGTTTGTGGTGGGGTGGGGCTAAGGGTGGAGATAGAGTTCGCAATAATTACCCTTTACCAGTGTTCCAAATGAGGAGGTTTGTCTACTTGGGAAAAATTCGAAAACTCCTGGTTCTTTATTCTTTATTGGTGCCAACAAGTATACGCAGCCGTTCTGACCACGAGACCAGTTTCCATTTTTTTGGAGGAGGGGGGCTTCTTAATTTACAGTAAAAGCAGTACGGCTAGCCAATGATCTCATGGAATTGGCCTCTTCCTTTAGGCCTCACCAACCCACTTTCTTGTTCTTACCATTTCCTTTTACTTCTTACTCCCAGAAAGCAAATTGCACTGTTATATAATTATCTCAGTTTTTCAGATATAGATCAGGTTTGGATAAATCTTTACTGCCTTTAAATGCGTCTAACTTCAATAATTTACTGGAATGTACGACTTGTATTTTCGATACTTAATATTAGCTTAGTGAGGTACAAAGCCACATTTCAGGCACCCAGTGAGGATTGATTTCACCATACACAGGTAAAAATCTGTAAGATTAACTTGAACGCGAAAGTTGCCAATTAGCTCTGTTGCAACTTGTTTATTTATTATTGGTTAATTTGCTTTTTATGGCTTATCAACTTTTTGCAGGTTATTCAAAGCCAGGAAACATGATTTCCTGATACAAGTCCTACTAATTAACCCACAGCATGGGGGAGAAGAGGTGACTTCATACCTTTCCCTAACGGTATTTGTGCGTCAGTCAATATAAAGAGCGTGACTTGAATTGGAACTCTGCTTGCCGATTTTCAGTTCCGAGTCGTTATCCATTACACCAGACTCAAATCCAAACACCTGCGGTCACCCATCTAGGTACTGACCAGACTCGATGTTGCTTAACTTCAGTGATCGTACGAGTACCAGTGTTTCAACGTGATATGTCCCTAAGCCTTATTATTTATTAAATAATAAACCTTAATGAGAAAAAGAGCTAAATGTATTGAAAAACGGTTATATTTAGCCCCCAAAGAGCAAAATTGGAAACACTGTTGTTGACTCCACAACAAGATTGAATTTACTAAGCCTAGTCTAGTACAAAGCCAAGTGAGAATCGAATTCGTTAGTAACAGTCTTCTTGGTTATCTTACTAACCATTAACTCGATAAAAGGGTGCCTAGTAATATCATTATATACATTGTTAGGATTGATCTACTTACAAATTTGTGATTTTATATTAGAAGTTCTGCCTCATATTTACTTTGAAACTCGACGAGAGTCTATTGAATCAGCTTAACTCGATACAAAAAGCTTAAGAAATTGTTTGTTTGGCTCTTGTCAAGGTTGTTGACAGCTTTTTACTGTCTGGCTAAGTAAAGCAGTTAAGAAAGAGTGGTTTGCCCAACAGTTCATTCACCCATCCTCTTCTCTATCAATCATCGCAGCGTTGCGTCTTTTCATCAATATATTTGGGACAGTGCGTAGGGAAATACGGATTTTATGCCTTTCATAAGTGTCTGAGTGCTAAGTGATTGCAAACACTCCCAGGTTCAGGATAGCGTAAATGTTTTTAGGACGAAAAACAAAAGCGCCGAAACGAGTTCGAATTCCGACCGAGACCTATTGACATTCACTTACAGTAGTCGCTCTTATTCACTGTACAAAACAAAGAAAAGAGTACTGAACTGTTACGTAATATGAATCCTCCTATATGGGAATGTAAACCGGACAATCTCCTCAGAGATGAAGCAAATTTAAGCAACAGAAATGTGGCTCTACAGAAGGATGATGATAATATGATGGACCGAACATGTGCGCAATGACAAAGTTTTGCATAAAATGGAAGCAAAAAAAGACATCAGGAAGAGACAATTGAAATTTCTAGGACACATAATGAGGAAAGAGAGCTTGGAAAAATTGATACACACAGGACAGATTGAAGGCAAGAGGAACAGATGAAAGCAACGCATAACCTACCTGGAGAGCTTGAGTAAATGGATAGCGGAAGTTACAAAAGACAGGAAATTGCGGCGAGCCATGATCGCCCACATCCTGACATGATATGAAACATCGAACAATCGAATGCTGGGGGGGGGTGTCATTTATGCTCATCGCTTATTTACCACGTAGCTTCAACAGAGATGAGAGATTAAGAAAAAAAAAAAAAAAAATCTGTAATGAGAGTTCGAATTTCGGCCGGGGCCGCAATGTGTTCATTTCACGTTAATGCCTATCGAAAAAGCATAAATTAATTTCTCGTTGATAGTGTGACAAAGGCAGATCGTGATGACTGACGCGGAAGAATTCGACCAGGGCAGCTATTCTAACCTGTAATCCACTTATTTTTTTTGAGATGCCTGAAGGACAAGCGATGGCACATCGACAATCTCTGACCATTGGAATAAATCATCAGGTAAACCGAAGCTGAAATTTATTTTGCAGGAATTCCTGATTACAATTTTTTGCGTCATTAAAAAAAAAAAAAAATTCACTAGTTCAGGGATTCATATTTCGAAAACAATTGCACAATTTAAATTCCGACTGCTTTTATATATATACATTTCATAATCCACTTTTTTTTTAAACGCATGAATCCGCATTTCCCTGAAAAGGTCATGTCAATAGCATACCAAGAAGAGTTCAGCCTTGTTAAGAATTATTCATTATTATTGGTGACATGTAATCCAATGCTAGCTATTCATTTAATTTGTGTAAATAGCAAAGCAGACACTGCTCAGAACTACACGAGATAGGATGGTGTGGAGAGCCATGATCGCTCACAACCAGAAATGACACATAATGACGACCGAGCATATTAAATTGAGAAAGTATCTCAATCGTTATTATGAGTAAAATCTGTTGTATTTCAAATGGTGATAGTCTCCTGGGATTTCTTAATATATGGAACAATATTTTTTTTAATCACTCCTTTCAATCACTGGAAAAGTGGTTGTGCTTAAATTGTCTCGCTATCTATCTCTTTATTTTTTGTTATCTCTCTCTCTCTTTATCTCTATCTCTCTATATCTATATTTCTCTATCTATATCGAATATGTTATTTTTTAAAAATTCATTTTAACTTAATTGCCATCCGTTTTTTTTTCTGTTTCTATCGAGAAATACAGAAGGCTGTGTTATTCCATGACTCGGGGGATAGATTATTATTGCCACCCTCCCGCAAAGATTGATAGGTGTTCTTATCACCCAGTCCATACTCCTTTCCATTCTCTTTAACAGGAGTAGAGGCTCACCCCTTGTTTCCTGTATAGGAAAGGGTCCCCGGCCTCTTTTTTCTAAGGCCTCAATAGTGGTGGTGGTTATGATAGTTTGATGATATGAGTGGCTACGTCTCTTCATATTGAGGGTACCGGGTTGGCATTTTTCTGATTGCTGCTTCCCGACTGATAGGAGTCCGAAGCGTCTAGACGTAGCGCCTAGAGAAGTTGCTCTAATCAACATTCGCAAAGTATCGGGGTTCTTGCTGTGCCGTATCGCACATGGAAAGGCGTCCTTGCCGAAGCCACACAATGCTGCAGTCTCCGCCATTTACCACCCCGCACATGTTACCTTAGACGACCGACAGCTAGTACTGTTCTTGGCCTTTTTCTAATTTAAACAACACACCATGACGATAAGCAACCAATGAAACAAAATTAAACCAGCACAATTTAAAAGAAACAAAAAAAAAACAAAAAAAAAAACGGAAAAAAAACCCCTAAACCTTTCCGCGATATTCGTATCAACTTTTGCAGTGTGGAATCATTCCTCTTGGAACACTCTCCAGGCATCCTAGCTCTCTGCAAAACTAATCTTAATTTTTCGATCCCCTCCTCTGAATTCTCGGCTAGTGTCCACATGCATGGCCTGGGAGTTTATGTTTGGGAACATCTTCCACTGGCTAGGGAACTCTCTCTTGAGTTTCCAGACCATTCTTACATGTACCCTCTTCTTTCTCCGCCCTCTCACGATTGTTGCGTGCTAAATAGTCAATGTCCACCATGCCAGGTGGCTTAATCAATATCACTGACCTCCAGAAATCACTCACGCAAGTGGTGGAATTACCCACGCGTTCCGCCAGTAATCCTTACAGAGACGTTTCTCTTCTTGTAGAGGTAGAGAGCGTGCCGTTCTCTGCATCTTCACCCATTTGGCAACTCCGACTCCACGCGGTTGGGTCTGTAAATTTCTCTTCCGCGCTCTAGCATCAGCTCCGAATGTAACAGAAAATTTTTTCTGTTATCAACGTGCTGATTGGGACTCATTCCGTAAATTGGAATGAAGTTGTTAATCATCCTGTTAAAAAATGAATTACTGAGGTTTCCTTCTGCGTGAAAGCCAGCATCGAAGCTTTCATTCCAGCACGGAAATAAGAACTGAAACCACAATCATCATTTTGGTTCCCAACTGCATATGCTCGGCCGCTATAGCCCACAGAAATCATTTCTTCCGACCGTACCAGGGCGACATGTCTGATTGTAACAGACGTCTCTTTGTCAATGAGTTAGTCCTCAAAGAAGTGAAGTTACTGTTTGCTGATCGAATGAAACAACGTATAGCCTCTCAGAAGTTCGGTTGTAAAGATTATTGGCGGTTCTGCAAGAGTGTGCAGAACAGAAGCAAATCGTCAGTTTCTCCTCTTTTCAATCAATTTAAAGTTCTGTCATCTATAGCATTCTTAGCTACTATTCTCAGTCTTCTCTTTCACTCTCATTCGCCGTAACCCCCACACCTGCGGACAAGTTGCATTACCGTCTTTCTTCGGATAAATGATTATAAAATAAATAAATAAATTAATAATTTTTACCACTTTAGTTTTCCAAGCACATCCGTCTCTGCTAGGGTGGCAAGCCAATCACTGTCGCAGAGACCAGCTCAAGAATATTTGTGTTTCAATACACGCTGATCCCAACTGTGCTTTATACTGCAATTACGCTCAGCGGATCTTGGAGTTTCTGACAGAGGGATCGCCTAATCTGCATAAAATTATGCAGATTAGGCGATCAACACCAGAACTGAGCAGTCACGAGGACTTTGTGCTAGCACTGCCATCGACGGCGATGAACAGTTTCCGTCTAGCCAATTTCCCTCCTCTCATGTTATCAACATCAAGAAATCATCTTCCTGACAAATCGACCACGGTGAGATTCTAACCTTATTCCAATTGTTGGAAAGCAAACGCTAGCCATTCGGCCACGCGCCTCTCTCTCTCACACATTTCATTTATATATATATATATATATATATATATATATATATATATATATATATATATATATATTAGCTTCCTGAAAGTACCCGGATAAATCAATCTTTGACTAAATAAAATCTTATATAATTTATTCGAAAATCATAACATAAGTATGTTATAAAATCACTACAAAAATTGCCATTTTGTTTTAACACTTCTGATGCTTTTGAATGTAGAATAAAGGGTTTATATTTGCTCTACTCTGTATTGAGCACTCTTTTAAGAATAGTATTTTTTGGTAACTGGAATTTATTCCGTATACACCAATTCCTATATTTGGATATATATATATATATATATATATATATAATTTTAAAATTTAGTAACATTTTACTTTATTTACCCACTTACAGCATGGTTTTTTTTTGTTTTTCCATAATGCATTAGCGTGCGAACAATTCATTCAGATTAATTTCATTTCTCTTATTTATATGATTACGTATGTTTTTAAATTTTATCATTTGCAGTTTATCCACCATGCATAGATTGTGATGTCTTACGACGTCTATGTAATTTAAGAACGAAAATGATCTAATAAATAAAAGGAATTAAATTATTTCGAACTGTCGGCACGCTGACGTATGCATTTCAAAATACCGTGAAAAAAAAAAAAAAAAAAAAAAAATTCGGGAATACTATTAAAAAAAATCTGCCACCCATTTTGAAAAATCACTAAGCATGAAACGCCTCTCCTCTTTA